ACAAATGACATGCAGAAGAAAAAGCCCTTCTCACCATCTCTCTGACTGGCCAGTACCTTTCTTCTGCACTCCCCTCAACGCAGCTCAGAAAGATCTCTGATGTGTGCAGGAGGGAAAAGCCCCCTCTCACAGGGAGGCAGCCCCCTTGGCACCCCTCCCTGCTGATACCCAGGGGCCTGAGGCTGGGATGATGGCCACCTTGCAAACAAACGCTGCCAGCCCCACAGCGCAGAGCCCAGCATGCAGAACACCCTGGGCATCCTCCACATGCCAGGAACAACTCTCTGCCCTCCACAGTGCCGGTTGCAAGGGACAACAGCCCATAGAGGCTGCGTCGGAGCTCTGCCCCAAATCCCGAGCCCGAGAGGCAACACCAAGTCAATCTGCCCTATCATCACACTGCCTGCCTTCCTCTGAGACTGGGGTGGTGGAGCACCAAAGAAATCTATGTATAAAGGGAGTATGTATTTTCACAGGAGGAACACCACCTGAGATATGGTTCTAGCTACAGCAGTCACCATGTGAAAAATTCTGTGTGGCAACACCCAGGGCATCTGCAGAGGAAGCATCACATTTGAAAATGCCAAACCACACGCTCTCTTTATAATATGGTCATTTATTAAAAGCAAGGAAAAAACCAAAACAAACCACCCCACATTTAATCCTTGATCCTTGCATACAAATCCTGAAAGACAGAAGGTCTGTATGCACTGGAGGCCAGACAATTTGCAAGTTTATAAATCTACTCAGAATTTTCAAATGCAGGAGAGGGGGGAAAAGATTCTGTACCTCCTTAACCTCAAAGAATCACACAAGTATAGCTAAGCCAGAAATTATACCTCACCTCAGGCTGCATTTTTCTTTCTATATATTTATAGAAACCATAGAAACCATATAGAAACCATTTACCATTTCTTGCTTAGTTGCTCATACTTTATATAGCTTGTACACTTTGTGTTGTTCCTTATTAACTCATACACAAGCCCTCTATACTCTCCTGCCTGACTTTTATTTTGAATATACTCTCATGTAGCAGCCAAACATTCATGGAAAGCCCTGTAACATGTTCACTTGGTATTCCCTATAGATGAAAAACAGCCTTAGTATAGAAAATTCAGTTACAAGCTGTTTAGTCAGAATTCTTTTTAAGAAGCCACTGTGTATTCATTACAAAAATAGCATGACTGCTAAGAAACAACTAGTGGCATAACTCATTTAAAGCTCCTGTTTCCTAAGCCTATGGGTGTTGCACAGGGGATCCTGCTACACTAAATCCACTTGGTTGTTCTCTATTATTTTTATTCATGTATCAAACGCTCTCAAGTCTAATGTCCATCTAAAAGCAATGTACTATGCCTCCAATTAAAACCATGGATTATAAATTTCACATTCAGGTTAACAACCTTGCAGGAAGTCAAGCCCAGAGACAAAAAAACTGCCCAAGTAACACTCACCTAAAGTGAAAAGAACTGTATTGATTTGAGATGCTCAGAGAGATTTTCTCTCTTGAGTTGTCAAAGCTAAATTACCAGAGGATCTGCAGCCTAAATTTAGACTCTCCAGGGCTGCATCCATCCATAACCTGGCCTTTTTGGCACATCACTGCTACAGCAGGCATTCAGAAAGCTCAGGGGACACTGCACTTTGCTCGGCCTACTTAGCAGAGACAAAAACTCATGTAAGACTCCCAAAGAATACAAATACTTTATGACTAAGCCAGTCTTTTCCTTTGCTGCTCTTCACCCTAGCAGCTTTGTTCCTGTAACTGGCAATTGGGAAGCGGGCTGGTATTTCTACAGGATGTGTATTACCAAAGCTACTTCTCTACAGCAACAAGAAAAAGAAGGGCTGATTGTTTTTTTCTGTCTTTGTTACAAACTGCCATGTTTAGGTATGCTCTGAATAAAGCCTTTAGTAAAGGCAGAATGGCACACTATTCCTTCTTGCTTGAGCTCAGAATGTCCAAAACTACTGCTAGGCTGGCTGCAAACTTGGGTACCCATGAGATCTCCCAGCAAGGTGCAGAACACAAGCATATGCCACATCTGGGTGGCTCATGCCTCCCAAAAGTAACGCCTTCGAGCTTTTATTTCAGACTTAGCATCTCCCCCTCCCCTGCTTTTTTTGGCTTCGCATTTAGCTTTTACTGGCCTTTCAATTGCTCCTTATTAACAAAAATGAACAAGAACTGAATAGTCACATAACAGCATGACAAATCTTAATGTTTTTTTCTAAAAAAGATGAAAATGCCCATACAATTTTACAGTGGGTTATAAAAATTCAGTTACAGTGGCTCTGCAGCTCCCTTTTACTGCTGTGAAATGCTTCATAGTTGTAAAGAGTTCCCTACATAGTCCTTCTCTTTGAAGTCCTGAAGAAATGCTCGTATTTTATGGAAACCAATGTTAAGCCGGATGGAAGCTGTCAGTGCTCCAAGGAACATCAGCCAAAGGAACGCCAGAATGAACGAGTTGCATCAGCCCTTCTCAAACTATGGTCCATGCTGGTGCTCTGCCTGCTAGTTGGCTGGTCATTTGTGCTACTCTTCCCCCAGTTTCTATCCTTTAAACTACACTAGAGGTACACTAAATAAACCATACGTACATTAAATAAACTACTTGGAGTTTACACTATCATAAACTATATTAAATACAGAAAGATTCCCAAAGCTTCTTGTCCATCTATCTTCAATCCCTACATGTGCATGTCTTGCAACAGCACGTGAGAAACTAAGCAGTCTCAAATGGGTTGGATCAGTCCCTAAGACTACTGTGCTCTACTGTCTGCAATAATCTAGTTTACATTCATCAGTTCAGAGAGCAAAGTCCTCCAGACCACAGGAAGGACTGGGCTAGGATGCTCTTTCACGTAAGGAACTATTAAAGCCCCTTCTGGGATTGTAATGAACATTAACATGAAAGTAAGAATGTGTAAATATCAAGCTCAACTACCAAACCAAATGGGAATATTCAAGTTTACAGCTGTGACCCATTAAGATATGAATGTAAAAGCATCAGGTAACAATAGCAATTAATGTAATCCAGGAAGTTCTAAAGGAAGAAAAGATTTAATTTTATACAGGATGGAGTAAGAGCTCTAATGAGACCTTTTTTAATTTTTTTCCCTTGTGGTATGTCCTAAAATCCTCACTGGAGGTCACAGAAAAAGTTGTATAAGCTGTGTACTGAAATGGGACAGTGAGTCTGTGACAATTTCCATGCTTTTCTCCAGCCTGCCCCACCCAGCTGAAGTCTCTCAATCTGGATCTTTTAAAATATCTTTAACTTGATTTATTCTGTATAATCAACACTTTCTTAGATCACCTCTCCCCTATTTTGAGAAAGGTTTGTTTTTTTTTTTTTGGGGGGGGGGGTTGGTCTTGGGGTTTTTTTTAAGCCCACACACATTTAACTTGATGGAGAATTCACTTCAAAAGCTTCCTTTCAACTATTTATGAGCATATAAATAGCTATGCAGGAACAAGTCAATAACTTGTCTAGTATGCTTCCTGTTTCAGACAATGCCAAACGCTGGGTATTTTGGTATGAAAATGTCCATTTTCTTGTATCTTTCTATCCTCTTATAAGTGTGCATGTGTGTCTATATATATAGCTACACCTGTATTTGCACCCACATGCACACACATCCCGATGTGAATATTTCCTTTATGTATAATTCACCAAACAAAAATACTTAGGCTAACTTCCTGACATGTAAATATAACAGCAGCGAAATATAACATTTCAAGTTTAATATCTGTTAAAAAGGTTATTTCCCATGTCTATGGGGACATGTTCTATGTCTTTAGTTATTTAGTTTATATAACTTATTTACATGCACTTTAACCTGCGTTTTTCTAATCTCAATTTTGTAGTCATTGTGCAAGCCTGCAAGACTGCTGCTACAGATGAGATTTTTTTTTTTAATTTTGAAGCACAGCCTATGAGGCTATCATCCTCAAAGGATTTTCTGTACCTTTTGGGGAACATCTCTGAGACAGAAAATCTACCCAGAATGGTAGGTAAATTCAAATATTTGAATATAAGACCCCATTTATGCCTTTCAGCCGGACCAGTAAGTAGCTGAAATGTGGTAATGTGGTTTCAGTTCTATGTACTTAGAGCACTGTCTTCATAAGTAAGTTATTTCCAGCATGTCAGTTGTCTGGAAGTAGCAATCTAAGTTAGATCTCCTCCAACACAAACATCTTCAAATTTAAAAATCACAGTAGGAAATCAGAAAGAATCACTCCCCAGGGGCATCTGTATTCTCAGTGAAACATCAGCCTTTGTTCGTGTCATTTCCAGTCACCATTTAGTTACAGACCCTGTTGTTTAACACGCATCTTGTAGCTGCCACTCTGATTAACCAAAATGTCCAAAGTATTCAAACCATTACCCTTTGTTTAAAGGCTCATTACCAAATTTACTTACAATAAGACTTCAGTTACATTTAAGGAGAAACAGTCAGATTTTCTTGACAAACTTCTAAAGCTCTCACAACAGCTAAAGGCTCACTTCCTCATGTTGTTCTTCACGGTCACACTCGTGCTCTTTTCCTGCAAACATCAGCAGGGATTTGAGGACCCTTACCAGGAAGGAAAAGGTGCTGAATAATTTTGTTCACCCGGGGTGTCAGTTCCCTATTTGTCTCTTTTTTCAGGTATGTCCACTCTCCATTGGAAAAGATACCACCCTGGTAGCTTTAAAACACAAAAGCTTGTCACTGTATTCTTTTCTTGCTTAGTCCACCTTTTTATTACTTCTATATCTCTCCTGCTACATTTGTCCCATTCACCTCTGCATTTGTCATGCTTTCTGAAGGCACCTAATCTTTCCATGATTAACACAAATGCAAAAACGCTTCCTTTGCACATACATTAGTCTCTTTGCTCAGAGCAACTGTTTTACGTCAGAGTTAAAAGTTATCTATTTTCAACAAATCTGACTTTTAAAGTGGTTTTAAAACAAACATTTGTAGAGCATACTGTGCTTTCTTACCTGAACAGAGTTGTTCGACTTTTGTGTAGTTTAAAGCTAATATGTCATTAACCCATGCGATGATGTCATGTCTGCTCATAGTCTCTTGGGTTATAGAGGTAGAGTACACGTTGACTGCCATTCCCCAACTAGGAAAAAAAAGGACAAAGAAATATTTTTGACATTTTGATAATTGTTTTCTGGATACAATGAACTTACACTTCTTGTTCAAAAAAAGGAAGAAAAAGCTGCATCACTGCACAACCTTGTCTTATTTATTGAGAAAGGAGGCTCAATTTTTATTCTTTGATGATACACGATCTCCTCAATGTCCTCTGGAAATCTATGAACATATTTCTCTGGCTATCATTGTGAAATTAAAGAACATACACACCTACAGCATTCTCCTTAATGCTAATAAGGCAGGAAAAAAAGAATCAGACATAGCCTAAAGACACCCAGACAGGATCAGAGACCAGGGACTTTTGTCACATAGTACTGAACAAATACAGTGGTCTGACATCCATCCATCAGTTTTTTGCCACTGCAGGATGACCAGACTGCCTAAACAAGTATTTAATTTTCAGATAACTTCTAGAAGATGTAGCCGTTCTACTTACTCAAACACTGACTTCTTACTGGGACAGGGGCCTTTTTGATCATTATTTCTGTTCCTAACAGTCACAGAGTGAATGAATAACAGAAAATATTTTTTATCAAATATATCAACCTCTATCCTGAAAGTAGCTGAGACTTGCACTCCCAACCATCTGGTTGGAAAGCTGCTGTGGAGCCTGATTCCTCTAAATTGTTAGGAACACTTCCTCTCAGCTTAAACCCATTTGTTCTTCTGCCAACAGTATCCCCCAACTCCAGTGGCTTTTTCTTCCTCAGAGCTGATTTCATAATGAGCTAGGGACAGCACTCAAGAGTCTGTTCCAGGGCCCAGATAGGCTAGATTAAACAAATCAATCCTCTGAGTTTCTTATAAAATCAGATCTTCACTTACTGGTCATCACAGAATCACAGAATGTTAGAGATTGGAAGGGACCTCGAAAGATCATCTAGTCCAATCCCCCTGCCGGAGCAGGAGCATGGTCATGCCAGGAGTCCTCCTTGAACACAGTCAAACAACTTCAGACTGTTCAGATAACGTTTCACCAAGACCTTGGAAAATGTCACTCGGTGCTGAAAATTTTCATAGCCACATCATCTTACATAGATCCTTCTAGTTAGCTAAGGTCCTTTCCTGCAAGTAGGTCTAATTCATAGCAGCTTTTATCATCAGTCCTCAATTGCATAGACTGAAAACACATACTACTCGATTTTATTCCCGGTTATTCTACACTAGTCACATCTTCCTGTTGCAAGGCATTGCCAAAAATAAAAGACAAGTATGTTCAAGTTTATCTCATCAATAGTTTCAAAGAGCAGAGTCAAGACCATTTGTGAAAAGAGTAAATAATGTTCCCAAGACTAGTGGACTTCAAGAGGTCCACTATTAATAATCCAAGTACAAGGTGTCTCACAAATGATCAAACAGTCAACCAAGCTGTGCTATTTTTCCTGGAAAAAAAGGGTTTGGTAGGGACTGCACACCTTTGTCTCCAGTGACACCTTGTAGCTAACACTGAACTGACCAGCTTTGGTGCCAGTCCTGCCACCTCAGCCTTGGACCTCATCTTCTCCCTCAGTGAAGGAGAGCAGGATCTCCTCTGTGGGACCTGAGGCATGCATGGACTATTTCCATTGACAATTTGCAAAGATGTTACAGTTTGAAGCTTGATAGATAATTCTGCAGTGAACAAAAAGACTGCAGGTTAACGCCATCCATTTTTCAGGTGTGCTGGAGCAACACAGATAAAAAGTGTAAAAAAACACACCAGCATGAAACTTGACACAGTAACATATAAGTGTGTAAGTAGGTACAGAAGGGAATGTATTTAAAATACAAGATTAGAACATTCATAGTACAGGTTGCCTTCTACAAAACAAATTTCACAAACACAGATCATTCAACTTGTCCCCGTCTACTGACATGAAGATCCAAAACACGAAATCACCAAATTTTCCTGATGAGAAGTAAAAATATTTAAAAAGAAGCAGAAAAAGACAGGCTGGTAAGGGAAAGTAGGCTCAAAAAAATTCATGCCCTGACAGTCAGGCTACTGCTGCCAGCGATTCATTCAGAACCAGGCTGCCCCTCAACCTGCTTCTGTATGGGCACCTCCGAAGCACAGAAGAAATCAGGCGGTCCCCAGTCTGTTCAGTTCTTCTTGCAGGCTCCCAGATAGCACAGCTAGTTGTATGAACATAGCACTGTATTCACTGTAACAGTTAGCAAAGGTCGTTTTCTTGGCACGCACTAAGTGCTTGGATTGAACAGAGCGCTAGGAGCAAAGCTTTAGCAATAGGGAGTGCCCTTTTACTCTTGAAACCTCACCATAATGGCTAACCATGAAAGCTTAGCTTCAACAGCGGGATGGAAGGGACTGAGCACAACACAAAGGCAAACAGCACCTTCGGTACTAATGGCATCTGAAGTTTAAACCATCACTGTTAGCATGGATTTTACTTTATTACTCATAGCCTTTTTATATATATATATATATGTATGGAACTAAGAGAAAATACTACCACTGTCACTAACATGCTCAGCAGTGTTTGTCAAGATCAGCTTAACAGTGACTTTAATATTCACTTAAGATTCAGAATAGTGAGTCTAATATTAAATGAAGAGAACAATATGGAACAGTCCACTCACTTCTAAAGAAGCTATTTAGATGCTAACATTTGAAATAAAGCTGCTCTGTTTTGCAATTGCTACTACTTCATCCAAATTTTAATTGTCCTCAATTCAGAACAACCATCAGCTACCAGTAGTGAAAGCAGCAGGTCTACTCTGTTAAAAAGATCAAGAAAAATCCACCCGCAGGAAGGAAGCAGAAATTCCCTCATCATCCTCTTCCAAAAGCAACTGCAAAGACAAAAACCTATCCTTCTGCAAGCGACAGGAGAGCAAACAACCTCCTTTGATGCAGTGCATGGGATGGAGAACTCTACTTCAGGAACCAATGAGTAAATGAATAACCTTGGGTTTCACAATGATACCCTGAAGGATATCTGTAACATAACTTATGCTGTGTCTGCAAATGAATTACGGTCTACAGGTCAAACCAAAGTTCAGGCTATTTATTAGAGACAATAGCTTCACATTCGCACACACAGATGAAAGCACAAGGGTGTATCAATACAATTTTAAACAAATGTGTGCAAAATGAATCAGAATTTCAGTTAAAAAAAAAATCAACAACATGCCACTACCATTTATTCTCAGTGACTTGCTAACATACATCTAAATCTTCCACAGCCTCTTCTCTTGAAAGAGTTGACTATGTCTTTGCTTCTTCTGTCCCCCACCCTCCCAATGGTTATGTTTTTAATAAACTCAGCTGGGAAAGGTTTCCTTTGCAGTAAGCAGGTTCTAATTTGGTGCTCAGATACACACATATCCTGTTTGCCATACAGACAGACCTTGGGGGGAAAAAAAAAAAAAAAAAGAGACGAGCCAGGCATAGGCAGTAGAGCCACCCTGCTCAGCTACAGGCAAGAACCCCCGCACTCGACATCCACAGCTGGGCCTGGGTTTTCTCCAGGACTCGGTTCCCCATGTGCTGAACTGCTTTGAGAAATAGGATCCAGATTCAAAACACACACTAATAAACATCTGTAAGGCGATGCAAGAGAACAGCTGGACAGGTGGAGACTGACAGGCTGTACTCTATGAACAGCCAAGTGGCTAACAACTTCATTGTATGTCCTGATACACGACTTCCCAATAACATTATTTACATTTGCGACTTGTTAGGCTTTCCCTTGTTTAGGCTGAAGGCTCTCAAGCATAAGACTGCAATGAGGCTTACACAAGCCTGAAAATCACCATCTACCTCACCGAGATCTTTAAGCTTTCACTTTCCATAGAGATGCTTGGCGATCCTACAGCAACTAAAAGCAGACAGAGGATAGTACATCACATCCCCCATTTCAGAGCACACAGGTGGAGATTAAAAACCTCTGGCTGTTACAGCACTGCCTAACCACAAAGGCCTCTGCCTTGTTATAGGTATAGGAAACTGAAATTCAAATCCCAAATAAATACAAACAAGCCATAGGAGAGTTTTCACATATCAGTCCAGGCCATTTCAGAAACACACGCGTGCATGGCTAAGCACCACAGACCTCAGTTCAGAGGCTCAGTTAGCTGCTGGAAATCGAGTACATGCTTAAGCAGCTTCCCCAATCAGATATATACTGTCTCAGCATGTCCGATAGTAAACATTACACACAAAGGAGTATTAATTTTTTAAGGCATTACATGCAGCACTGAATGTTCAGCTATTTGGCGTTTTCCACTGCTCTTGCTACAGATAACTGCAGCTGATACAAGGTGTTACCCGGTTGTGTTTAAGGACAGTTTTGTAAGAGGCGTATTTATTTTTCCAGGGAGAAACTAACACTTGTTGGCAGCAGAAGTGGTATTAGGCCAAACCAGTAATAACGGCAAGACAGGAAGGACTACAGCAATGGATCTATCTGCAGTGTAAAAACTCACCCGTCACCTCTGAACCTGCAAGGCTTTCCTGTTGGAGGTTAAGTTTTTAAATGCAGTAGAAAGCCTGTGTGACAATATAAAGAGGAGCCTTCTGGAAGCTGGCACCTGATAGCATCAGGATTGATACTGCCAGTAAAACAAAAGATCTCTCATTAAAAATCACTGAAGTGGAAGATACTGCAGCAAGGCTAAAATGTAGCTGAATAAGACTGCTGTAGCTCCTGTTGGAAAGGCTTTCTAGGTGAAAGCTACTGCAAAACAAAAATCCCTGAAGGAAGAAACCTGCCAGGCTCAGCGGCCACATCCCTGTAGAAGGAAAATTCATCCTTTCACATCATCCTGAAATGGCAGGTTGACGGCTCCTTTAACACACACACTGCATACAGCCTTAGCCATAGCCGTTAGAGACCAGCTATACTTGAGGCTGCCTACCAAAAGGAGTCTTGAGGACAGAAAAATAGCACAAAAAGCTCCAGCACAGTCCTAACAACACTGCTCTTACTCTCCCTTTTGACTTATGTTGTATTCCTGCAGCAG